TCGACTACTTCCATGGGATCTAAATCATTTTTATCCCAAGCCGCATCCATGCCGTAAGCATATCTCCTGCTTCTCTACAAAAGTTCTGTATATTCTCTTCTTTTATAAGAGTTTCTGCTACCACGAAATGGATCATGATTACAATTATTGCAGTCTTGAGTGTGACTACAGCAACTCTAACAACTGTGCTAGTAATGGAGAAGATGAATAAGAACAACGCTGGAAACAGTAAGACTCAGGCTCTAGTTTTCCTCCACCGTTTCCTATATAACATGCCCTACTATTTCTACCTCAGACCAAAGCGTCACCTGCGGCAACCCTAACACAACACCAATCTCCACCGTGTCCACATTTACCACAGCACTAGGTGCTAATTTAACCAATACAACTTTTCTCAGCAATTTTATCAATAACAACACTACAACTGCATCATACAATAATATGAACAGTACAACAATGAATACGTCCATGACCCAATCAACAGGAACAGTGACAAACAATACCATTGGAACAATCTTTTTCAGTATGAACTCTACAACAGTGTCGGTAACAGTACAGATCAACCCGAACACAACTATTTTTTCGAATATGAGTTCTACAATGATTGTACCATTGAGTAAGTTGAATATTTCTTCTGATGGTTGAAATTACTGATGAAAAGCGCATTGCATGTCACTTTTGAAAAGTGAAACGGTGGTGTGGGTGTGGCTATTGAAGTGTTTTACATTTACACTACGAATCACATCCACAACTACCCATACACTGAACATTAATCTGATCAGTGAATTGTAGAACTTGATTCATAGGTAGTTAAACTTTTGGGAAATATTAAACAAATTCGTTGTTGAGTTAAAGAAGGATAGCTAGAGAAATAATGGACCTCAGGTTCGAAAGTTAGACAAAAGAATTTCCCAATTTTTCGCACTCGTTGCTATTGGCTGAATCTTGGAATTTTAAAAGCTAGTTTTTACTGTATGAAATAAGTATTTGGTCTACTCAATAAACGCATTTCAAGTGAAAAACATCGCGTGGTTTAGTGTCTTTTTTTTTGCTCTTCATGTAATATAAGTTTTGAGAAAAACATGACTTCAAAATTCTTTTCTCAGAATGTATGACGATTTAAGTGATATCATGAGCATAGCAGATGAACCAACAATCTATCTATAAAGTTATTCTAACATGAGATTTTCTAGGATCGCTATGCTAGTGAAACTTTAATATAAAATTTTTTTTTGGATTCGATACACCATTTATTTTAATTTAACTATAATAAAATTTTTTCAAAATTGAAATGAGAACAATCTAAGCATTGCAGTTCGCAACAATATGGTTATAGAATATTGTCCATTTCTGACATAAATGCCCGTAACCATTTTCTGAATAACTTTCGATCGGCTAATACTATCGAGCTCGGGTTTGTGTAGCTAGAGAGAGCAGACTCCAAAGCGTCTTTCGGTACGAGTCATTTGAGTCCACAGTCACTTTTCTACGACTGTTTATACTTCGATATGTTGTTTTTATGTTTTTCCAGTGAATTTTTTCGAAATTCTAACCCCCGTTTGTACCAAATCGTAACCCAAATTCGGCTATATATATGGTAAAATTTTGACATTTTCAAATCGTTTTTTTATCTCCTGCCTTCAGTAAAGTCACTTGGATGCATGATAATATTACTGTATATGCAGCAGCATTTTGACTGCAATGTGGCATAATGGGAGTTGGAATGTCCGAAAAATTGACTGAAAAAGCATAAACACTACATATCGAAGTATGAACAGTCGTAAAAAGGTGACTGTAGGCTCAAATGACTCGTACAGAAAGACGCTTTGGAGTCTGCTCTTTTCAGGTACGCAAACCTGAGCTCGATAATGTTAGTCGATCGAAAGTTATTCAAAAAATGGCCACGGTCATTTATATCAGAAATGCACAATAGTATCGAGACGATGATCAAACCATTAGAGTTGATATCAGAATCAGTTAAGTGAATCGAAACGAACAAGCTTGATCGTACTCACCTGTACTGCTGATTTTTCTGAATTCTTTTATAAATTATTTCAAACTCATGTTGAATTAACCTCAACCCTATCTCATAACTAGATGCTTAAAAAGAAGCTTTCCATTTAGAAAAGCATTAGTCATATTGTGAATCGACCTTTTTAGCATCAATAGCGACAAATTCTTCTTCATCGTTGATAAACAATGCCACAACGCCAACACCATCAATGAATATAACCAGTAAGTTATGGAAGAGTGATCGATAGTTTATTCATGTGACTTTTAAACTAAGTATATGAATACTGGTTAATGAATGAAAATAGTTTAAAAACATTCTTGGTCTATTGTTTGCTATAACAGCAATCGCTCCAGCTGTAGTCTATTAATGTAACAAAGATTTATGAGTAGCTTATACCCATGTGATATAAAACGTTCGAGAACCGCCGGTTAATTTCGGCTCATTTTCTTGACCATCGGTTAACCGGAAAAAAATAGATTATATGGTTAACTGTGCGCTAATTTTTCCGGTTAATCGAGCGCTTAACCGCAGTTAACTGACGCTCGAAAAAGCAAACCGAAATTAACCGGCAGCTTTTGAGTTGTTTATATCACATGGATACTTTTAAACAATTCCGACATCAATGCACTCATCATCAACTGACTTTTAAGAAAAATGAAAATAGTTTTGATTTAACTCTACCAATTCAAAATTTTCATAATTGAGTGACACAATCATTAGCCGCTACAGGTAGTTTTACCTTCACAATTGAATACAAATGTTTATGTACTACTATATCCCCGTGACTCAATTCAATTAACATGTTCTATGAAATGATTTACCATAGAAGATGGAAATATGAGACAACAATAAATATAAGTTAAGCTTGTGGCGCGGGTATTGGCATCATTCTTTTCATCACACCTACACCATCGCTCACACCCGCTAAAAATAGTCTCATCCATGCTTCAGATTTGAACAAACTTTGATTTACATTTAAAATCTGTATCATAAAATCCAGTGATATATATTGTAGTTATCGTTTAGGTATCAAGAAACGCGTTGTACTTAGTTTTATCAAATATCTGTCACTTTAATTTAGTTTCTTTCTCTTATTATAAAAGTTTTGTCATTCTTATTTTTCTAAAATGCTCGAGAACGAAATTTTGGCGCAAAAACATCTTACCCGTTTGATTATACTAGGCCAAAAGTCCAATTATCTATAATGGGAGTTCCCCATCGCTTGCAAAGAATGCTGTTCAAAGTTAATAGTAGAGTGAATTTTAGTTTGTACGCCTATTAATTTTTTCAGAATATCTGAGTCTCAATCAACATATGCAGTAGAGAAAGCAAATGCTCAAAACTATCTCCGCTTTATGTATACACACCTTTCATCTTTGATTAAGATTGAAACTGGTTTACACTAGTCCACATGAAGATGAATAATAATTTGTGCAAAACTCAATTAGCTATGACTACTAATAATTACTTTTTACAGTAGGTTTTTTTACTACTTTGGATACAGTTTACACTAGTAAGACATCTGAATCTGCGCATCTATGTCATTCTCCTGTCGTTTTCTTCTTCATTCACAATTTTAGACGATATGAGTAGACGTATGGAATACTTTTCTCACAATTAGTGGCATACTAATCATAGCTCTGTTATTTAAGTACAAATAATTATAATTTTGAAACGAATGAGATATTCATCTATTGACACATACAAAAACCATCTACTATATAGAAAGATGACATTGTGCACAAGCTTTTCATTTCCATATTACAGATCATTTATATAAAGGCATAAGAGATTGGAACAGCTAAGACTCATAGTTCAGCTTTAATTCTTTCCTAAAATCTTGTAATTAAGGTAATCTTTGTCATGCCACAGAAAAATTTTTTACCTCATACTATTTCAATTAAACAAGAGAATACCAATATGGCATTTTGCATCTATATGGATATCGATTGATATTAAGATGATACTAAATTCCCTTGAGTATAATAATTACTAGAAACTCAGTCATCTTCATATAAATTGATCTTATTTTTAGAGTGCTTTTTTTGATTATTCTTTAGTTATCTTAGAGAATAATTAACTGTAATTCACAACTAAACGTTTTAATAGATTGTTGGCCAACGAAAACTCATCTTACCTTGTAAACCGATTTCTTTTAGCATCAACAGCAATTAATTCTTCTTCGACATTGACAGTCAACGCCACAACACTTTCGACATCAACAACCGTAACAAGTAAGTAATAAACCGTGATTGAAATTGTAAGTGTGAAGCTTTTCAAATACTTATAACAGCCTAGTTGTGAACCTTTTCATATCAAGGCTTCCGCTCAGCCTGAGAAGAAAACAGAAAAGAAACGTCCATTAGAGTCTATTTAGAAGTCTTTACATGCAAAATATTGATTAACTCTAAAATATTTTTGCATGAATGAAGCATGGTTAGCTAATTAAGATCAAATCTTTTGGAATGATTTGCATTCAATGCTATACATAAATTAGATCTACCATTCGATTATTATTAAGAAGTGAACATAGATCATGATATGCTGATACTCAAAGTTTTGTGAGTAGAAAATATTGCTTTGAGACAAGTGATAGACCCATAACTCTCTTCTAAGAAAAGTGAAAAAAAATGTTGATGTTACTTGTTTACTACTTCAAGTGAATGTAATTAATAAACACATTGATGAACTGAAAAAGTGTCTTCACCTCTACCTTTAATATTTATATTTTTGTTTTCTATTCTTAGCACAGACTACAACGCAGGTAGTACTGAACTGTACGATAGCGAATTATAGTGAAATCGTAACAACCGTAGTTAGTGGTATTTCTTATCCATATGGTCTGGCCATCGATGCATCAAACAATATCTACGTTAGTAGCTCAACTTACCGTGTGTACAAATACGTTCCAGGTGCCAATGCATCAAGCGGTGGCTTACTTATTGCACCATTAAGCGATCTACAGGGCTACTCATTAAGTAGCCTCATGTCAATTTATTCTCTGTTTGTTGATCAAAATACTAATGATCTCTATATATCGGATATCGGTGCTTATACCTTTCGAATTCAACGATGGACACTCAATGGTGCAACTGCTGGTGTCACAGTGGCAGGTGCTAATGGACCAGGACCAGCACTGAATCAAATATCTGTTATCTATGGCCTGTTTGTAGATTTAAATAGTAATATTTTTATTTCCGATATTAATTATCATCGTGTAACAAAATGGACTCCAAATGCAATCAGTGGAATACTTGTAGCTGGTACCGGAGTGAGTGGATCGAATCTTACTCAACTCAACGCACCCCAAGGAATATGGATCGAACAAAGTGGGAACTTATTCGTTGCTGATACGGGAAACCATCGAGTAGTGAAATGGATTAACGGAGCAACGACTGGAATTCTTGTGGCTGGAGGTCAAGGCCCAGGGTCGTCATCATTGCAGCTAAACAGCCCTTCTTCTGTTATTGTGGATGTCTACGGAAATCTTTTTGTTCTTGATCAAGGAAACAGTCGAATTCAGCAATTTACCCCTGGCAACTTGATTGGCGTTACTATTTTTGATGGTTCACGCAATGCAACATTTAGTGGCCTAGTCTATAGCATGGTAATGGACAGTTTCGGAAATCTATATGTAGCCGATTATTATGGGAGTAGAGTACAGAAGATCTCTTTAGTATCTGCCAGTGTTTGCACAGGTAAAAATATCATAAACCGAAAGCAAGTCTTAGTCAATCATTTGTATTTTGCAGGTGCCAATATAACTTTTCCTACGACTAATCGTAAGTATAGAAGAAAGTTTCAAAGACTTCCTAATGGGTAATTGATGAATCAGAGAAGGTGAAACAGCAGTGTTTTCTGAATCAATAATATAGAAATGCACATGATTTAGATGTTTTACGTTTTTCTTCTTGTCTAAGATTTGAATGGAAAAAATACAAGAGATTGGAGTCTTCAATTTTTTTTGTAGGATGATAGTAAATCGAGAAATGAATATGATATCATTACTGATTTATATCTACTTGACAAACACAAACTTTTTTGTGTTTTCAAAAAGATCTAATGATCTATGTTGAATATCTTCACAAGCAGCATACTAATGATATTTTTACCTTTGACCATTACTTGGACAAAGCTTTTGACTGTATCTGAAATGCTTATATGTTGCAGGTGAAAATTACTTAAATGTGATACCTATCATTCTTATAAGTTACTCTGATATTATATTTGAGTGTCATCCAAGGAGAGTTAACCTTCAATAAAGCAAAACATTTTTCTTGAATATAATGTGTATTTTTACTATTTTTCAACAATTTACCTTCACGCAGTACTATTGTATAAGGTGTAAAAAAAGCGTTCATCAAGATAAATCTTTTTAGTCCACGATATGATTCTCGCATAGTTTGAAATCAAATTACTTAATTCGGTTCAAAAATATTTGCTTCCGCGAGAAAAATGAATCGAACAGAACGAGCAACATACATAATGATTGAAATCTTCGACGTAACAAATTCTTTTTCGAATGAACAGCAGTAAAACATTAGTTATTACTACAATCAAAAGAAACTTCATACAATTTAAAATACCAAACAAAAATTTCACTAGCAACAGAATATTTAAAAAGACAAAACTGCCACACTATGATTATTTTCCCGAGGCTCTCTTTAACACACATAGAAAAATTGAGCTAACTACCAACAATTAATTAAAAAAAAACAATTATTTTAATTTTTCTCTGTAATTGCTAATGAATCATTGGTCATAATATCATAAACCTAATCTATCAAGGATATAAACTAACAATCCAAACTTGATACAAAACAATGGCCGACTAACAAGAGTTGTCATGATCATATGCTATTAGTGGCATCATATTTTTCCATTTTAAATAGTCTCATATTATTATTAGTTTCTACATTGTTTATTTTTAATATTTAGCAAGCACTACACCATCTACGAATAATTGTTCCAGTCTCATCTTCAATCCCAATGCAAATACTGTTATTTCCAATCTAACAGGAAACCCATATGCTGTTGCACTAGATGCTTACAACAATATCTATGTCACTGATTCTACTATTCGCGTCTATAAATTTTCAGGAAATACAACGTTACCCACATCGGCCAACGTTATCATACCCATGACAAATCAAACAATTAACACTGGTGGTTCAACACTAAGTCAAATTGGTCTCATTAATGCACTTTTTATTGATCAAGCATCAAACAACATATACTTATCGGATACGGGTTCATATTGTCCACCAACTTATTGCTACTATTATGCAATGAACAATTATCGTATTCAACTTTGGTCACTCGTTCCAGGAACAGTAGCAGGAACAACTGTGGCAGGAATCGGTGTATATGGTGCTCCAGGATTATATAACACAATAGCAACAAGTTACGGTCTCTATTTAGATTCAAATGGTACTTTATTTGTTTCAGATTATGGAAATCATCGTGTAACAAAATGGATTCGAAATAGTGTCTCAGGAATATTTGTAGCTGGTACTGGTATATCCGGTTCGAATCTTACGTATCTTAATGGTCCACGTGGTGTATGGGTATATGGTAATGGAGATTTACTTGTTGTCGATTCTTATAATCACCGTGTAGTGAAATGGTCAATGAATGCAACAAGTGGTATTCTTGTAGCTGGTGGATTAGGTCAGGGACCATTCTCAGTTCAATTGAGTTATCCAACTGCAATTGTCATGGATAGTTACGGAAACATGTTTATTTTGGATTCGGGTAATCAACGTATTCAACTATTTACACCTGGAAGTAATATTGGCATAACAGTATTTGATGGATCTTATAACAGTGCATTTAGTATGAGCTCTTCTAGTATGGCGATGGATTCATTTGGAAATTTGTACGTTCCAGATTTTAATGGTATGCGTATCCAGAAGATCAATGTTGTCTCAAGTAGTTCATGTACAGGTATGTTATGTAGTAGACAATGAAATTCAATTGTAAGTATGATTTCATTCTAGGGATCACAACGACTGCTGCGCCCTTAACAACAAGTAAGACTATTAATGCATTCTATTTTACTGGCACAGCAAAAGTGGTTCACTGCTATTTGGTCTGAAGTTTTGAACCATTTTGTTGAGAAGCAGTGTCTATTTCCTATTCAGATGCGGCTCGAGATATTAATGAAATTGTTTTCAAGCCATGAATTTAAAAACATGGTGCTAGTATATTATTCTGAAAGAAACGTTTTTATTTTATGAAATGTAAAGTTACTAGAAAAATGATTGTGTGATGCGTGAATGTTTAAACTTTTGATGATTATTTGATTTAAATGTTCTTACAGTTATGTACCTTTCTGAAGAAATCAACTTCACCTCATTGCTTTTGAATTATACTTAGATAGAATTACTCTTTCGACGGTCATGTATGAGCGAGTCAATTTTTATTAATGATCGAGAGTAGTTTTTTTTCTGATAATTGTACACTTGAGTAAATGAAAGAACCATGATGAATCTGTAAAGATTCCATGTTTTTCAACATTCTGAGAAATATTGAGTATCGCATAGACAGTTATTTTATTACGGAAATGTCTGCTTATTTGGATACGAACAATGAGTAGAATGACTACAAGTCACGAAAATTCTATTGACAAGACATTAAACAAAATGTTCAAGATCAACGTAGACACAATTACTTACCAAAAATATCTCGAAATAAAATAGTGGACCGAATTCGATATAACACTGCAGCAACTAACAGAGATACTACATTTTTACAATATGTTTTCGGACTAAGGAATGATCAAATCCTAATATTTTCATTACCTAAATAACTGCCAAGCTTTGAACCCTATGTACAATTGTTAACTGATGGAACCTTTTAGCGTTGGATATCGATTTCTTGTTATTTACAATGATTTAACGAGTGAGTCTTTTACGGTACACCATCAGTTTTTTGTAAGTTATATGCTATGTGCGTAGTTTAACGAAACGCTGTATTATCTGTTGTATTTACATTATCACTAATTGAAACGGAGGAAGCTTGTAGTCGGCGTTTGAACGCTTTACAACACATTCATCCGTTTTGCGATCGAATATGTATATTGATAGATTTTGAAAGATCTTCGATAAATACATTTGCTGATAAAGTTATAAGTACAGCCGTTCCATCTATAATGTGAGGCTGCTTTTTTTACCTACGAAATAATATTCATCGTAAAGTCCAAGTGAATAATGCAGCTCCTAGAAAATGTAGACAGTAAAATCTTGCTGAAGAATTGGGTCTTTAAAATAGATTATGAATGAGATGTAATGTCTTTTGCTCATATAAATAAAATTGGTGCTGTCCCTCTTTTACATCTAAATGATATTACTCACTTTTTTAAAAATTTTTATAATTCATTGCCACAAACATTACATTCGTTATTAGATTATGCTGAAGATACATATGTAGGAAGAATTCGTTTATAAGGACTATCAAAACCAACGTTAAAAATCAGTTTTTCAAAAGCATAACTCGAATAGCGACTGACCTTTTAATATGCACAAACAACACAGCCGAAGCATGACATCATCATTTAAGTTGAATTCCTCAATGCCAATGTTCTTCTCTTGAGGCATTTATTAATTATTTGAGATATGCAGAACATGCTATTCAATTCCAGTTGATAAAGATGAAGTCTTACGAAAAGATCATGCGAAATAAAAGTTATTTGAATTATAGCAGACATGTAAATATCTCTATAATGTCCCATCTACTATCTATTTTAGAACTCGTAGAAGGATTCGCTAAAAATTAATATTTTTTTCTTTGTGCTACTTTCCCTTTTGTATGATAATTTTCAAAAGAAGAATTTGATCATCATTGATGTTTCCTAGATAGTATTTTCTCCTTAGTATCTCAGTCGAGTCCGAAGACAAGAATGATTCATTGAGCCATTGATGAGTTATCTGAAAAAGTCATTTATATTATATAGTTGTCGATGCAAATATTAACTTATACGAACTTTCCTCAAGAAATTCTTGTCTCATAATCAAATAAAAACTCAACTATTATGTATCTAATTCGATAAACAATGTCACGAGCTAAAAAATCATGTAAAGAAAAATTAAGAAAGTTTCGAACTCAATTTTTCGAGACAAGCGAAGGAAATTTGAGATTGAGAAATTCAATTCTCAAGTCAGATTTTGAAATCAATATTCTTGTTTAAGGAATGTTTTAATTTTTGAAGTACACAACACTCCAATTTAAAGTCGATGTTTCCACATTTATCTTATATTTGTTTTTGTGTGTACCTTTATATCGGTATTAACTTATCTAGTATTTATTCATATTGCTGCTTCACTATCTCGAATTTTTGATGAGAAAATAAATCATTATGATACTGTTTTTGATCATTTTTTGTATCACGCAATTTTCGGATTGGTCAATTATCCATGATTAGTTTTCATTTGGCCCATTTTTGGTTTCTTCATTTGAATATTTCCATCGAAACTCTTCTACAACTATGAGTCGCATGTACTGTCAATACCAAAAATGTATTTCATTATGGATATGCCTAGTTTCTATGTAGTTTCTACAAAATTAGTCACTTAATGAAACGAATTGCGCCTAAATTCTCTGTGAGAACTTAGATAATCGAATTTCTTTTACAAAGTTAAATAATTCGACTGTGACAAAAGTAATCATTAGGAGCTATGTTTAGAAAAACACTGCAATAACAAACAACTAAATATTTTTTATTTAGATTTCTCTTGATCCTTTAGAATCCGATATTGATTCTAAGAAATATCTGCATTGCTTAACAATGTTTGCAGTCTATTTGTCAGTCATAATATTCTTCACGAGTAGATCTCATTTGATATGAACATAAATACTTTACAATACCGCTATCTTTTCAAAGTAGTAACATATTACGCAGCTCGTTGATCTGATCAAAAACTAATGATAACCAAACCATAAGAAAAATGTTTTCATATGAAATCGATGTTCAACGCTAGGATTTCGGTACAAATACTAAGTCATAATCTTCATGACCAAGATGAACACATACCTACGCGTAAACTAATATTTCTATTCTCACTCAAACACCTTTACTCGATCTTTTCACTACTTAATATATCCATTCAGAGCAATGATTAACAATAAAAAGATTCCTTTGAATATATATCAGCAAGTGATGACTACCAACAGATTTCCATGTTCTTTAATTCCGGTTAGTGAAGCTGTAATGCATCCATATTCTAGAACGAAAGCAGTTCAAAAATAGATTCAATAATGTGAAATATTCCGAATATCGTAGAACTCAATTATGTCATAAATAAATCTTTCCTTGACAAAAGTATAATTCTTATAAGATTTTCCACCACAAAGCTTCCCAATTGAATTGTACGTAGTAAAAAATAACTTCTTCTACTACAAGTCGATTATAGATCTAATATAATGTCTGAGCTTGCCTTAAAATACATTCCATTTCATTTTAAGCGAATACCTATTTTTTCTTGCAGCTTCAAATAGTCTGCCACTTGGCAGCTGCTCAAAAGCCATCTACAACACAAATGCAAATACGATTGTTTCCAATCTCACAGGAAATCCATATGGTGTAGCACTAGATACTTATAACAATATCTATGTCAGTGATTCTAGCATTCGTGTCTACAAATTCTCAGGAAACACAACGTTAGCCACATCGGCTAACGTTATCATACCTATGACAAATCAAACAATTAACACTGGCGGTTCAACACTAAGTCAAATTGGTCTCATTAATGCACTTTTTATTGATCAAGCATCAAACAACATATACTTATCGGATACTGGTTCATATTGTATGCCAGTCTATTGCTATGGCTACGCTAACAATCGTATTCAAATTTGGTCACTTGATCCGGGGACAGTAGCAGGAACAACTGTGGCAGGAATCGGTGCATATAGTGCACCTGGATTATACAACACAATAGCTACAAGTTATGGTCTCTATGTAGATTCAAGTGGTACTTTATTTGTTTCAGATTATGGAAACCATCGTGTAACAAAATGGATTCGAAATAGTGTTTCAGGAATTCTTGTAGCTGGTACTGGCATATTCGGTTCAAATCTGACGCATCTTTATGGTCCGCGTGGTGTATGGGTAGATGGTAATGGAGATTTATTTGTTGTCGATTCTTATAATCATCGTGTAGTGAAGTGGTCAATGAATGCAACAAGTGGTATTCTTGTAGCTGGTGGATTTGGTCCGGGACCATTCTCGACTCAATTGAATTATCCAACTGCAATTATCATGGATGGTTATGGTAACATGCTTATTTTGGATTCGGGTAATCAACGTATTCAACAATTCACGCCCGGAAGTAATATTGGCATAACAGTTTTTGATGGGTCTTATAACAGTGGATTTAGTATGAATTCTTATAGTATGGCGATTGATTCATTTGGAAACCTGTATGTTTCTGATTACAATGGTATGCGTATTCAAAAGATCAATCTTGTATCAAGTAGTTCATGTACAGGTATGTTAAGTAGTTGACAGCAAAATATAATTATAAGTATGTTTTTATTCCTAGGTATTACAACGACCACTGCACCCACAATCACAAGTAAGGAGCTCCTTTATTTTACTTTGAAATATGTCAGATCTACTTCTGTGACTGATTGTAATAAAGGAAAAAGTCTTAATTGCTCCCGGTAAACTTTGTGAACTTGGGATATACTCTAAAAGTACTAGAGAATTCCACTATTTGATTTCAATTCCAGCAGATTTCTGCGCGTTTTCAGCATAAGTTTCCTAGAAAACACACGACACATGGATTTAGTATAATGGTCAAAACAACCCACTTTTGGAAGCATGCAGTACCATCAGAGTCAGCTGTAAGAGTCCGTGCTGATCTGAATAATGAACTCTAAAGAATCTATTTGCTAAGAATTAAAAACTAAATTAGTTCAACTCCGAATAATATCGAAAAACAAAAGATGTGGTTCAGCACCGTGTAAAGACGATCGAGATGAAGCCGAATTAAAACGTAATCTGGTCCCGATATCTATCAGGAGGAATCTGATGGCTTTATCTCCCAACGCTTGCTTCGTTTCGTATGTTTCCTATCGGAATTTTTTGGAAACGAACTGAAGATCCTAAAGGAATGCCACGTATTTAACTACAGAATTTATTTGATTCCTAGCATTTTTGAATGGGAATCATCCTCATACAGGCGGTTTCCGAGATTCACCAACATTCCTCTATATTCCACATGTATTCAGTGAACGCTTTGCATTAAATGTAAGAAAAACTTTGTAGGAGGTCTTGACTCAGAGTCTTTCCAAACAAAGAAGTAAAAGGAGACCAACAACTACTTAGACTAAAAAGAGATGGAAAGCACAATCTAAGCATAAAAACAAGTTTCCTCCGGCGAAAAAAAGATAACTGATTAAAAAAATAATTGTAATTACTGCTATAACAGTCATTATATAGATTTGATCTTTAAGATGACAACGACTTGAAACCACAGAATCAGTACTCCTTCTATTCTCTCTTACTACTCCCTACCGAAGGAAGAATATTTCCAAACTTTCAATTGATCATTGGTTCAGTCTTCGATACCCATTCCCTGAATATCAAAACTCTTCTGCAGTTTCTGTTGTAACACTCCCCCTCGGACAAAAAAAACGACCTTTTTCCATCTCATTTTTGCATCACTTAATAAGTTGTTTTAGAAAAATAAAATATACCAGGAGATGCAGCGTAAA